GGGGGGGTCGGCAATCTTCGGGACGCCATCAGGGGAAGTGGGAGAGTATTTTCACATTGTGTAATTGTGGAGGGGGAGGAGGGGGAGAAGGAGGAGGAGGAGGAGGAGGAGGAGGAGGAGGAGGAGGAGGAGGAGGAGGAGGAGGAGGACGAGGCCTTGTGGAGAAGGATGAGGCGAACAACGGGGAGGAGAACGGAACAACAAGAGGAGCAGGATAAGGATGGTAAGGAGGAAGAGAAGCAGGAGGAGGAGGAGGGAGGAGGAGGCGGAGGAGGAGGAGGCGGAGGAGGAGGAGGAGGAAGAAGGGGGTGAGGAGGGGGAAGCGGAGGAGGACCATAGCAAACCCACGACGTATCAGCGATGCTGCAAAACACCCTCGGGTTCTAAATTCCGCCAGGCTTCGTCCCAGAAGCATGCGCCTGGCAAGCCATTGGTGGCATCGTTCTCATCGTTCTCTTTCATATGTTTCCCTCTCCTCGTCCTCTGCCCTGGCCACTTTTTTTGTTGTTCGTCCACCTCGTAGTACATCCTCTTTCTCCTCCTTCCCCTCTCCTCCTCCACCTCACCTCCTCCTTCATTGCTAGAGGAGGATAAGGAGGAGGAAGGCAGGAGGAGGAGGAGGAGGAGGAGGAAGAGGAGGAGGAGGAGGAGGAATATGAGGAGGAGGAGGAGGAGGAGGAGGAGGAGGAGGAGGAGGAGGAGAGGAGGAGGAGGAGGAAAGGGATAGAGGAGGAAGGAGGAGGAGGAGGAGGAGGTGGAGGAGGAGGAGGAGGAGGAGGAGGAGGGCCTGGTAGTAGTGATAATTGCGAGTGCAGTTTCCCCGATGACACCCTCGCGGAGGACATTGGGGACCACTCCGCCGACCCCCAGACGAGGTGAGAAGTCCATGGGGGTCGGGGTCGTAACTCCAGAAGCTGCGGCCTTCGCCCTCCTCCTCCTCCTCCTCCTCCTCTTCCTCCTCCTCTTCCTCCTCCTCCTCCTCCACCGACCCCCAGATGAGGTGAGAAATCCATGGGGGTCGTGACTCCAGAAGCTGTGCCCTTCGCGGAGCCTTACACGTTGTATTTGGGGCCCTCTGTGGCTCTCTTGGGGTTCTCTTGGGGCCTGCTGGGGCTGTCTTGGGGTCACTTCGGGAGTGTCAGTGTCGTGTCGGAGGGTCTTTGGGGCCGCGTGGGTGTGTCTCAGGGCCGTCTTCGGGCGGTTCTGGGCCTCCTTGTACTTCTTCGGAGGCCTCTCTGGAGACCAGCTGGGAGTCCATGGGGCCACTTGGGGCCATGCTGGGACCCTTTTGGGAGCGTGTTGGGCTGCCCGTGGGCCTGCAGGAGGCTTCTGGACCTTCTCGGACACATCTGGGCGCGATAAGCCGTGACAGGAAGACCATGGAACGGACCAGTGGTTTTGATGATTTTGGGCGTCTGGGTTCCCTCTCGGGACCTCTTTCGACTTTCTTGGGATCTCTTAGGGCCTCTCGAGGTCACCTTGAGGAATGGTGGGCGTGTCGGACCCTGTTGAGGCCCGCTTGGACGGCATCTTAGGCACTTCGGATGCGCTGGAGAGTGGATTCGGACGCTTTGAAAGCCCCGGTGACTCGGTGAGGAGTTTTCGGGGGGACCCCCCTTCAAACAGGACTTTGGATCCGCGAAGGGCTTTCAGAGTCTCTTCTTTCCCTTCATTCCCGCTCCTCCTCTTCCGCCTTTTCCCCGCCCTCCCCCTCACCGTCTTCCCCTCTCACCGAACTCCTCCCCTCGTGGCCTCCAGGGGCCTCTTGTCCCTTTCCCCTCCCGCTCTCTGTGACCTCGCCATCCCCCACCCGCTGAAATCGGGAGGCAAGCGCCCGTTCATCGTCGTACACACGTCTTTGCTGGAGATGTGCTGCGAGCTGGAGGTGGAGGCAGTCCTGGCCCACGAGCTGGGGCACCTGAAGGTGCGCCACCTGTTATCGCTTCATGGAAGGGCATGTCAGATACTTATCCCCTTCCTCTCTTCACATTCTGCTCCTCTCTCCCCTTCATCATCCCCTTCATCGTTCTCATCTTCTTCCTCCCCCCCTCATCCTCCTCCTCCTCCTCCTCCTCCTCCTCCTCCTCCTCCTCCTCCTCCTCCTCCTCTCACTCCCTCCTCCTCCTCCTCCTCCTCCTCCTCCTCCTCCTCCTCCTCCTCCTCCTCCTCCTCCCCCTCCTCTTTAAAGTCATGTGGAGCCAGACCCGGTGCCATTCGGTGCAGGAGCGGCACACCTGTTAGGGTTCAGAGGCGCATGTTTGGTAGCCGTTGCGTCTCGCGTCCGAGTGCTCGTGTCATGTGTTTGCGACGCGCCGCTGCCTCACTATGCCCTCATGTCAGCACACCAGCGCGCCACTATGCCACAATGCTAAGATGGCCCTGCATCGCTGCACCAGCATAATTCCATACCACTGTCTCGCCATCAGAGGTCAGGGGGGTCAGAGCGAGTTGCCCCCACCCAGGAGACCGGTCTCGGTGTTGGCTTTAATTCGTTTCGCGGGAGTGGGCGAGACAAAGCTGCGCGACGGTGACGGTGTCAGGGGACTAAATACGAACCCTACCCCCACCCCACCCTCCCCCTCAGAAATCGTGTGGGGTAGGGGTAGGGTTCGCATGTGGCCCCCTGGATGTGTCGGCGTAACTCGGGCCAAGCCAGACAACCAGCTTCTGCCCAGGTCGCGCGGTGTCCCGCCGTGGCTGTCAACGGCTGGCCCGTGGCCGTCCCGCGTCTCCCCCCCCTCCAAGAGCAACGGATGTTCTATGGCTGTCCCGCGGTTGGTTGTCCCGTGGTCCTGCGATCTGTCCCGCCGATTGTTTCGTAGTTGTCAAGTGGGAAATTTGAATCGAGTTGGAAATCAAAATGCAACCGGAATTCACATCGAAATGTAAGATGCAAATCGAAAAGCCACATCGAGATGTAAGATTTTTGTGGTGTAAGCTATGTCGCGAAAACTGTGTAATGTAAACTTTGCGGTGTGTGCTATGGAGGTGAAAGCTGTGCGGTGTAAGCCATTGGATGTAAAACTTGTAGTAAAAGATATGTGGTGTGAGCTGGAGATGGACTGATGGGGTGCAAGCTGTGTGATGGTAGCTATGTTGTGTAAGCTACGTGGTTTGAGCTATGTGGTGGATCTACCAAGTACTTGCGCTTAGGGGTTCTTCTCGAAGACGCCTACGGCGAATCACCGCCGCCCCCTGCCTTTTTGGAAGCGCCTATGTGGCCGAACGTTGAGGCCTGACCTGCCAAGCTATTATTGGACCATGTGTTCCCCGAATGGGTTTGGAAAGCCTTCGGGGAGCACGTGGGCATCTTGATGGTCATCTTGGCCGTCTGGATGCTATTTTGACCCTTTCGGGCCTTCTTGGAGGACATCTTGGAGGGCTCTTGGGCCGTCTTGGAGGCCATCTTGAGCGTCTTGGAGACCTCTTGGGCCGTCTTGGGGGCCTCTTGGGGCCGTGTCTTGGGCCTCTTGGGCGATCTTTGGGGGCACTTGGGCCGTCTCGGGCCGTCGGACGGTAGAAAAAAACAACAAATACCACAATACTTCAAAACCCATGGGAAATCAAGGATTTTGGCCTTTTCGGGCCTTCCTGGAGGCCCTCTTGGAGGCCTCTTGGGCCGTCTTGGGCCATCTTAGGGCCATGTTCGGCCGTCTTGGTGGGCTCCTGGTCCGTCTGACGCCGTCGGAAGCCGTTTGGGGGGCCTCTATGGGCCGACTTGGGGCCCTCTTGGAATGCTCCAGGGCCGTCTTGGAGGCCATCTTGGGCGTCTTCAGGCCTGCTTGTGCCGTCTTGGGGGCCCCCTTGGGACCCTCTTGGGCCGTTTTGGGGCCATCTTGGAGGCCTCTTGGGCGATCTTTCGGCGATCTTTGGGGGCTCTTGGGCCGTCTCGGGCCGTCGGAAGGCCGAAAAGAAGCAAATGTGACAATCCGTCAAAAACCTTAGGAACATCAATGTTTTTGGCCTCTTCTGGCCTTCCTGGAGGCCCTCTTGGGGGCCTCCTGGGCCGTCTTGGGCCAGCTTCGAGCCAACTTCGGCCATCTTGGTGGGTTCCTGGCACGTCTGACGCCGTCGGGAGCCGTCTTGGGGGCCCTTCTGGGCCGACTTGGGGCCCTCTTGGGGCGCTTCGGGGCCGTCTTGGGGGCCATCTTGCCCGTCTTGGAGGCTATCTTGGGCGTCTTGGAGGCCTCTTGGCCCATCTTGGGGCCCTCTTGGGGCCGTCTTGGGGGCGTCTTGGGCCGTCATGGGGCCATCTAAGAGGCCTCTTAGGCGATCTTGGGGGCGATCTTGGGAGCCTCTTGGGCCGTCTTGGGCCATCGGAAAGCCGAAAAGGCGCAAATGCCAAAATCCTGCAAACAATCAAAAATGATTTGGCCCTTTCGGGCCTTCCTGGAGGACGTCTTGGAGGGCTCTTGGGCCGTCTTGGAGGCCTCTTGCGGGCCTTTTGGGCCGTCGCAGACCATCTTGAGGCCATCTTGGGCCGTCTTGGGTGCATCTTGGAGCCATCTTAGACGTCTTGGAGACCATCTTGGCTGTCTTGGAGGCATCTTGGAATCCATCCTGGGCCATCTTGGCCGTCTGGGAGACCATCTTGGGCCAACTTGGGGCAACAAAGGCATTGACGGACGGATTTTCGGGAATCTCCCGGGACCCCGGCGGGACGGGCCGAAGCCCCAGGGGGAGTTCTTTTGGAAAACGAACCAAAACCAAAAGCCATATCATCCGGCACGCCAGGTACCCCTTTGATAAATCAAATGGGGGCGGCGGACTTGTGCTCTCTAAAGGCCTTCGACCCATCCCGCCACCGTGCCTGGGTTGTGGGTCAGAGTTCTCAGGGATGCTTCTTCGAGTCTCTTCGGGGCGCTCTCGGGGGACTCCTGGCAGCAGTTTTGGGGCCTCTCGCGGGCCTCTCGGGAGCAGTTTTGGGGCTTCTTGGGAGCCTCTTGGGAGCATCTTGGGGCCTCTTGGGAGGTATATGTGTTGGGGGGTCGTGGGAAGCC